GGCTCATGTGGCACATTCTTAATGTATGCAAATTTAATTCGCTTCTCACATTTAAATCAATATTTGTCGGGCCTTCTGCTGTGCTTTTTATACATTTCTCTATAGATGCGTTTTTTATAATTATAATTGAAAAAGCCGCTACAGATACATTTATCACATGTGTTTGGGTGGAATTTTATTTTCTGCAAAAGCGAAATTGCTCATTTAATTGCAGCCACAACACAATTTATATTCTCCTTGGCTCGCTGAATACAAAAATAAAAAGGTCAAAGGAATGCAGCGGGATCATAAATGGAAAGCTACAATTTGCAACAATGAAAAGATTTAAATTGCCCCATTTTAATGTGGCATTTTTAATGGTAATTGAAAGTAAAAACATCTGGAGCATGGTTAATTATTAACTGGGAACGTGCAGCTCTTGAATTTGCCAAATCGTGAAGTGTTCTTCATCACCACAAACTCAAGGAATAACAGCTTTGTAATAAAGTTACATAAAGACAATCGATTCATGAGCACTCGTAACTGGTTGGAAATCCATTTGTTATATTTTACCCATGGCAAAAACATTACATACTGAATATTCAAAGCCATCAAACGGACAGGAAGACCATTAAAAGGAACCGCCAGAAAGAGGGCAAATAAATCCTTAATTAATTTTCGATTTTATCAATCTGAAAAAAGGGAATTCGGTTTCATTACAGCTGGTGTGTGTCCCTCATAAACTTGGGATTTATTCGCCCCCATATGTGCTTTTGCTAGTCTGCCGATCGGTGGGTGCAATAACTGCAGAATAAATTCACTGCAGCGCAGGCGGTAAAAACAATTAATTGGGCTGCAGCACCATCAGCATTCATTCCATTATGGATGTCAGCAGTCAGCGCAAAAACTGCAAAGATGATGGCCAAGGTGGGTTGGAAAAAACAGGGGAAAAAGTATGGACGGGGTCCGAACGGTTAGCCGTTCCCATGTGCCATATAAACGAATTTAATTATTGTTCATGTGCTGAAATATGAGCAAATTTATTTATGGCCCTGCATGCAATGCCAGGTGCCCGGCAGAAGTTCTCGTAGGTGTACTCTTCGGTTCCGGCCATGGGGAGTCCTTGTTGTCATTGTTGTTGCATAAATAAATGTTGCTGGCATACACGGTTTTTTTTCTTTTTTTATTTTATTTTCAGTGCATGCATTCGATTCACGGCAGGGTCTCTCGTTCAGCTGTCCAGCCTGCCATGCAAATGTCCCGCCCCTTCCGTGAGTTATGGGCGTGGGTGGCGTATGATTAATATTCAATTACATGGCAGATCCTCCTCTTGCTCCTCAAAAAACTATGCATGCGACAGCAGCCCTCGCAAAAGTATTCCTTACTTTGTTTGCCATCGCTGGAAAACTTTGCTAATTGCCCTTATCAAGAAAATAAAAAAGAAAACCCAAGCAAAACAATATAATGAATGCCCGGAAAGAACGAGAGTCGATTTCATTAAACTTTACATTTGCTGCTGTTGTCCTTCCCCTTGTTTTATGATGTTTTTTCCATATTTTCGCTAGACAACGTGTGCCTCCATTTGATTTAATTATGCTCGTGTTGATGGAATAAAGCTAGCCCTAGAGTTTTGTATGTTCGCGGAAAACGCGGAAAACAATGCGGCGAAAATACGTTCCTCTTAGCACGCAATACGTTGGAAATTAGCCAGGGGCGAAAAAGAATTTAAATTAGCCTAATTAAAAATTATTTTTGGGAAGCTCAGACAGGCAGGAGATGGATATTACCAAGGAAAGTTCATAAGCCGAAATAACAGGAATAATTGAAAAACAATTTAAAGCTCCTTATCGTGATGAATAATTTGTATTGTCCGTTTCTGGCAATAGATTTTCGTACAGCTCAGAAAAACAATCATTTTTGTCTATTTCTACTAATTTAAAACTAAACTATTAAACTAATTGAATTAAAAAAAATTTTTTTTAAATAAATAAATAACCATGTAGCCAAGCAGTACCAAATATACAGTTACTGCACAGGACTTCCACCTAATTCGAGTTTGAATTAATGCCTGTTTGGGCTGTCTGAGTTTACTTCGGCCCGACTATTATTCAAATAACTTCAATTGCTGCCCTCAGTTGGTATTCCGATTGCGTGTAGTTTTGGCATTCGCCAGCCGCAAATATATCAAACTCTTGCCATTTGACAAGGCCAATGTCCATGATTTATGGCTGCCATTATTTTATGTTTAGTTGCACGGATTCGTGACATATTATTACTGCAATTGCCAAGCAACACTGGGCCTCAGGAATAATTTTGCCTCTTATCGGCACAGTTTACCAAGCATTCGCTGGAAACTGAAAATGTTTGAAGCCGCCTTCTCCCGAAATGCTCACTTTATTATTCCCCAGGCGGCCTAGGTAAATAGTTACACTGCGTCTGCCTGGAGTATTTAAAATAAATTTTGTGTTTGCCTGCTGCGGCTTTTCGTTGTTTAATGTGTTTGTTCGGCATTACAAATTAATTGCTATTTTATGGAAACAATATATTTTTTACGCATTTGTTTCATTTTTGCCGCTTACTATAATTTTAATGACACATGCAATTACTTCTCTGTTTGCTTTACACATATCAAATTCAACTCGATGTGCAGGAAATTAATAAATCATTTTGCTAGAGTCCCATTTAATAAACTCCATCCATATTTCAGGACGCTAGCTACCAAAAATAAATTTCATCTTTTAATGGCGCAGAATATTTCATTATGTTTGCCAGTGATTATAGTTTTATTTGGTTTTTTGTTGCCGCAAGAGCATACAAAATTTAAATTTCATGCTGGAAAGCCTGCCTGCATAATAATTAATCGAAAGCAATATTTTCGGGCGGATCTCCTTTTTAATTCGGACTTCATCAATTGATTCATGCCAATTTCATTTACCCATGTGTCCTGCGAGTGCTTAATAAGCGACTGCATCAACAGAAAATCGCGACGAGAAGCGTTTATTAATTTATGCATTTAAACGATGCCCGATTGCACATAACCAGCATATCACCATCGCCATCGTCATCGCCTGTGCCAAATTTTGCATATTAATTGCTCATTAATTGTTGATTAGCTTTCAAGTGCCGCAACGTGGCCGCCTCAATCTCGTGGCCGTCCTGCTAAGCCCCCTGGTAATCCTCAGAGTTCAGACTCAAGGATATGCCAAACTTATCCGAGGCAACTCGGCATTAGTGCGACAAAATGTGGTAATCAATCAAAAAGGGGAAGGCCCTCTCCGCAGCCCGGGAAGTTCTTTCCTTGGGGGCGCAAATACTTGCAATTAAGCATTATTAATCACAGCGACTAAGCAACACCACCAGGAGCTATCCGATATAGCTTCGGCATTAGCCAAAGCTATGCATGAAGTGAGCACTTCCGGTCCTGGCAAATAATTACATTGGTCATCGCCCCTGTCGGTGGTCACTGCGCTAATGTGCGCGTATTATTTTCTCATCAAAATTAATATTTAATTAAAAGTCAAGTGCGGGGGCTGGGTGAACATGCGCCGAGAAAAGGTAATTTCCTTTTGGGAAAACCACCATGATATTTATTTTCGGACGGCAACTTAATGAATATGGGTGGAAAAATAGCACAACGGTTAAATAATGTTTCATCGAATCAAAACTTAATTACCAAGGGTAAAAATTCTTTAGTTAAATATTTCCAATTCAGTGCTCCTAAAATTATAATTTATCTGCAAAAATATTTATAACAGTTCAAATAAAAATTGGGAAAAATTTTAATTATACTACCAACATTGCAACAGCAAAAAGAACATTTATTTTTTTGGTATAAAAATAAACACTAAAAAGAGCCAAAAATAAAGATTTATAAAGTAAAAACCAAAATAACTCCTACGGTATTTTGAAAATATATTTGCGTTAATAGTTATTTATTATTTACTATATGTTTTTATAATCTATTTTAATTAATACTCATTTATAATTGATGGTTTTTCATTAAAATACTCCGAATGCTTATCAAACTGTCAATTTCAATTACCCAATTCATACTTATTAGCTAGGATTAAACGATAAGGAAACGTTATAATATGCAATTAATTTTTATAATTATATATAATATATATTATAATATATTATAAAAAATTTACTTGGAAGCTGTTTATTTTAGTTAAATTGGAACGAAGAACATTTGTGAATTGGTAAACGTTTCATAATTCAAGGGGCGTTCATTTATAAATTAAAAGATTTTTTTGGTTTCGATTAATTACCATTGTAACGTTATAAAAGCTAATAATGAATTTAACAAATACTGTTAGCTTGGTGTACGTGGACCTCAAATGATACAAATAAACTACTTCGTGCGATCAAACATATTAAATTTACTTAAATTTATTTTAGATTTTTGGAATATTTTTGTTTTTTGCAGGTTCACAAACTCATGAGTGCCAAGTTAAATGGATTATGAATAAGCAATTACATTTAGCGCATCGGAATATCATGTTCAGAATCCGAGCCCAACGAGCGCAAAAAGTGCCCGCTGCAAATGCAAATACAGAAAGCGGCGAGCACAAAACAATTGAACTCTAATGACTGACAGGGTTCATTGTCAGGTTACAGATCACAATCCGATTTATGGACTAATTGCGCTGTTCATGTCAAATGTCAAATGTCCTCGAGAGTGCGAGGATGTTTGTCTGTCTGACAGAGAACAAGGGCAATCGAATAAAGAAATGCGCCAATCGAGCAGAATTTTCGTGGCCAAATCACTTGACTTGTGCGTGCCCGCAAGTCGACAACTAATCAATCAGAGGAAGCCCAGCCCTCATGGTCCGTGTTATTCGTCACTTTTTTCGAGTGGCATCGTATGATGGATTGGGTCGGCTTGAAGTTTGATTTTGGCCACTTTTTCGCATTGGCCAACTTTCGGCGCCTCTGAAAGCCCATTTCAAGTTTAATCTCGCGTAGCGAAGTGACCAAAGAATTTGGTTTAATTATGGCTTGATTTATGACTCAATTACCGTTTAATAGTCCAGACCGGATCCAAGTGCTTGGTTTTGATTTGCAAAATTTACTTTCTTCGGAAATGGTTTTTCTTTTCGTCACACTTCACTGGGCCCTCGCACAGCAGGGAAAATTTAATTTTCTTAAATATTTCTTTCGCCGAGATGTGCTATTCACTTTTTGTGCCTTTGGGCTGCCATTTGGCTGACTATTTATTTCTATATTTCTGCCGGGGCAAGTTGGCGCCTCGCACTCACGCACACTCGCACAACGGCCACACACACTGGCACACACACTTAAATTTGTTGGCTCCTTGCGATTTCCGGCGTTCCTACTGCCTTTTATTTTTATCTGCGTTATTTTCTCGGGCAGGTCAAAAGAAGTTGTTATATCCGTTGCCTACTTTTCTGGGCGTTGTTTTTGGTCGCGCCTTGTCAATGCAACAACTTCGGCACGCACACAGCCAACCATCTTATCCAAATCGCACATACACACACACCCGCTGGGTTGTATTTTCGAGAACGGTTTTTGGGAAAAAACGCGACGCGCTCGGTTCCTTTTCTAAAGCGCCTGGACGGTCGCCCGATTGCCGCTACCAAACAACACAAATATCGAACGTGAACTGACATGGAAATTCGCCATTTCAGCCAGCGAAAAAAGAGGCCCAGGCCACAGGATGCCATTCGTTCTTCTCGGCCAACATCGCTCGGTTTTAGCCGACTCGGTGTGCTCGGCGATTGCAGCGCCCTACGGCCGTGCGGCGAACTAATCGAGAGAGCTCTGAAAATTTCAGGGAGCGGGCGCATGGCAATTCCTGGCTGTTTGGGCGCAAAAATCCCAAGAGAATCTTTCCCCTTTCGAAGGGGAATGCCTTTATTAGGGGGAAAATTCCCCTTTTCGAAGCAGTTCGAAATATAATATAATAATATTTAGCCCATCTAACTTGTTGCTAAAGGACATCAAGTAGTCGATAAAAGTAAATCAAATATTTCTTAGCTACACACAAAAAAAAACTTGGTAAAATCAACTGTAATAATTGTCAAACAGGCCCCAACCAGCAAAATTGTCAATTCTACTAAGTAAATAGTTATTTCACAACAACAAAATACACACAATTAGCAAAGACACAAACCCAAAGCAAAAACAAAATACACGTAACTATTTTAATAGTTACGTAACTATCTTTGTTGGTCAATTTTACCAAGCAATTTTTTTTGTGTGTATGTTCAATACAGCTGACAAAAAGTAGACTACAAGTCGATAGTATGCTTCGCCAACAGTCGATTTTCAGTCGACTACTATTGATTTTTTTCTAAATCAAGTACCGTTGTAGCTTGTTTCTTTAGTTTAGTTCTAATATTTCTTCGTAAAATCCAAAGCAATATTGTGTTATTATTATACCCTTGTAGAGGGTATTATAATTTCAGTCAGATGTTTGCAACGCAGTGAAGGAGACGTTTCCGACCACATAAAGTATATATATACTTGATCAGCACCAATAGTCGAGTCTATCTAGCCATGTCCGTCTGTCCGTCTGTCCGTCTGTCCGTTTCTATGCGAACTAGTCTCTCAGTTTTAAAGCTATCGCGGTGAAACTTTCCCGAAGGTCTTCTTTCTATTGCAGGTAGTACATATGTCGGAGCGAGCCGGATCGGACCACTATATCTTAAGGCTCCCAAACAAATATAAGAAAATTCATTGTAACTTTGTAGGAAGTAGGCGTTTTGATTCTTGACTACTTAAAAACAAAATTGAAATAAATCGAAACGCTGAATCTGGAATCCCTGGAACTGCACCGAGTGAGTATTCTTTTATCTACAAGGGTATATAAGCTTCGGCTGGCCGAAGGTAGCTTCCTTTCTTGTTTTTGTTTAAAATGGACAAGTTGTTAGCTGTTCTCAAAGAAAATGGTAAGAACAATTAAATTATTTAATCAGCATAATTGATTAATTTGGTTACGAGTAGACTCTCAAGAAAAAGGAGTAGTTACTCCAGGGAAACCGAGAGCTTCCGATGTTTGAAAAAGGGTTTCAGAACATCGACAAGACTTTAGGGGGATTCCCTAAACTATTCAATTGCTGAATTGTTGAAAATTCAACAAAAAATTTCAGCAATTAAGGGAACGACCCAAAATGGGTTCTGTTGAATTTTTAAACAGCTGTTATTTGTTGAAAAGTTTTACGGATCTTAAAGCATGTAAAATTTGATTTATTATTGTAAGTTACTGTCTTAAAGTGTTACCAAAGTAAAACGAACCACAAACATGCTTTTTAAGTTGATTTTAAAATAAATAATGCGTACTGGTGATACTGAAATGTTACAGTGTTGCCACGACTTTTAAAAAAAGGTGACAGCTCTGGCTTTTCAGCAATTCAACAAAATTTTCAACAGCATCGAGGCTGTTGAATTGCTGAAATTTCTGAAAGTTGACTTTGTATGGAACAGCTGATTAACAGCTGACCAAAACACAACAATTCAGCAATTCAACAGTTTAGGGAATCCCCCTTTTAACTAAATAAAAGAGGCTGCCCATATATTACGTAATCACAATGTCGGCGATTTTTGACATATTTGTCATATTTGTCGTTCTTTTTACCTTGGTAACAATTTTAGACAGTAACTGCCAATAATAAATCAAAATGCACATGTTTTAAGTTCCGTGAAACTTTTAACAAATAACAGCTGATTGAAAATTCAACGGGAACCATTTTGAGACGTTTTCTTAATTGCTGAAATTTTCTGTTGAATTTTCAACAATTCAACAGTTTAGGGAACACCCTCTTTATTGAAACCTTTGAATTTCACTTAAATATTTCGCTCCAAACTAAAGCCTAGTACCCACATCGGCTAAGAGTTTCTCTAGTCAAAAACAAGAGAAAACGCTAAAGTCGGGTTGGTGTCCCGACTATCTAATACCCGTCACACAGCTAAAGGGAGTGCGAACGCTGTACTCGGGTTGGTGTCCCGACTAATAATAGCACTCCCTTTAGTGCGAGGGAGATAGATATATATTGACAATTTTGAATGCGTATAACTTTTTATTGAATGGTCCGATTTGAAAAATGTCTTCTACATTTCGATAGGTATAAATATACACAACAAAATTGCATTTATACTTTTCGGAAATCTTTAAAGATGTGGGCGCAGGAACCATTTTAAACTCGTTAGTGGGCGATTGTAGGCGTTATAGGGGGCGTGGCGCTCGGCTAAAATAAACTTGCGCTGCGTAGGGAGCCAAAGAATATGTTTGGGAAATCTCAACTTTCTAGGTTTTGTAGTTTCCGAGATCTCAGCTTTTATACAGACGGACAGACAGACATGGCTAGATCGACTCGGCTAGTGCCCCTGATCAAGAATATATATACTTTATGAGGTCGGAAACGCTTCCTTCTAGCTGTTACATACTTTTGCACGAATCTAATATACCCTTTCACTCTACGAGTAACGGGTATAAACATTACTATTTGTAGTTGGACCGAAGTTTTCAGAGCTCATTCGCAATGCATGTAGCATGGTCTTGTTGTAAATCAGCTGGGTTGACAAACTGCAAACAAATCAATTGGCACCAATTTTATAATATTACAATATTATATTACACTTACATAGGTCGCAAGCTATAAGCTTGCTGCAGCACGGTGCTATCAAATATGACTTGTGGCATTTTATCCTTCATTACATAAAGGAAGGCAATTTTGACCTAGAATTGTTAAATATACAAAAGACGCATTTTCCCTACGGAGCTTCAGAAATAGTTAACATCTTCCCTGCCTTGCAAATGAGTCATTTAACAAAATTCAACATTAAATCAACGGCTAGAGAACTTCCTACTTTTGCCACTTTCTTTAGTTTAATGATAGGAGATTGTATTAGCCCCGATGACGCAGTTTTTTTCACTTAATAACAAAGTGAATATTGCCCAACAAATTTAAGAGCACTAAAAGATGTTATGATTTATCACACTAAGCAATACACTATCAGGATACTCTACTTCTTCAATCACTATCATAGAATTGTAATGGAATCTGGCCCGTTGAAACATTTGTGGAAGAGTTGGTAACAAAAATCGATAGCACTATCGATAGTATCGCTGGTTTTAATATTCAGGAAACATCGATGGTTTAAACCCACAATCGATACTATCGCTCCAAAAAATAATTGAATTTTAGAAGCAACTTTTGGTATATTTTAAGGAAAAAAGTATTTTAAAGTATATACTTAAGAACAAGACGTTATTTTAATTGTCATAGCTCAACATCGAATTTTGTTTCACTTTAATCGTTGTAAAAGTTAGATCGTTTCTTTCTCCATAACTTTTATGAGTCAACCACACATTTTCAATAATTTTTTTTCAACATATTCCTTTATTTTTACAATTTCTTTGTTTTTGATACTATTGATAGTATCAATAGTGATCACCATCGATAGCCAAAAATATCGAGTGTCCGTTATCGATTTTTAACAACCCTAATTTGTGGACGTTTTCTTTTAAGGCAAAGCACAAAACTCGTAAGTCTTAAGCTAAAAACATTTCGTCTAGAAAAAATATGTGTACCTCCATAGTAAAATGTCCATTAACTATTCTCATTTCATAAAAAGTTGTACAGTTGAGGAAATTCAGTTTAGCAAAACTAAATGCTCTGTTCAAAATTCTTGGTTTTGAGACTATTACATGTTTTGGACCTAAAAAGTTCAAGGCTTATAAAATTCAAGAAATATTAAAAAAAAAAAGTTCAGACAGTATTATAAATTTGTCAAGTCTTGATATAAAAAGTTAGAAGTAATTATTTTAAGTATGTGCAAACTTCCTAAAATTGAATACCATTTGATTAATAATATTCTTTACTTAAAACCAAAACGTTACTTTTAAGTAAGCTTAAGGTTTATATTATTGAATGAAAATGTATTGGTGGAGAAGGGGGCTCCAATAGTTCAAGCATAGAGCATAAAGTAAGAAACCATACAGAGACACCATTTGCTCTGCCCGAATTTATTTATTTTATTTGATATATTTTGGTCCGCGATCAAAAGACTTGACGCGAGCATAGAGTCATAGAGTAATAAACTGTATAGAGACGCCATTTGCTCTGCCCGAACCTCTGCCCAAGCTCTGCTGAGAGCCAATTCAAGGCCAAGTTCGAAGCGAACATTGATTTC